GAATTAAGTTGATTTAACCACTGAAGCACATTAAGATGATAATATCTGAATAATTGTCAAGAATATTAATAAAAAATATTTTAGGATATTTGTTTTCTTGACATGTTTGTTCAAACCTTCGTGTTTTATGGTAAAAATCATATTAAAGTTATTTTGCCATCTTAAAATTAAAAATTTTAAAACCATAGATAAAAATGTAAAAAGAGGCATGATAAACACCTAAACATTGTTGTCTTTTTTTTTTTAAGGCCTGGAAAAGGTAACACAATATTTAACATAAGTGGCAAAATTAACGACAAAAGCATTAAAAGGTAATTTAATTTTCTCTGCGTCAAGTAATGTCAGTTAAAAATCTCATTACAATGATCCCTACCATAATAATAAAAAGGAATACTGTTCTTTATGTAGACTTCTGAAGGATAAAAAACAGCAGTGTTCTTAAGCTTCTATGAACTCTACAAATAAAAAAGCACACATGCTGAGCAAGAAGAGATTGCAAGTGCATAGTGGTGGGATTATTTCAGAGTAGCCAATTGACTATAAATTTTGAACAAAATAGAACTGCATGCTCAATATCCAAAAGCTCATTAACTCATGGGTGCATGATGCTGATAGGTGTCACATCAAACACATATCAATTCATTTCATATGAAGTAAGCATTGCCTATAAAATGCAGTCAAAGCAAATGAATTTGTAATACAAAGCAAAATACTAGTTTTGTAGAAAAAAAAAAAACATGACTAGGTGTTCTGGTGAGTTCCAAGAAGATTTGGCGAAATGGCTCTTCTTTAATGCTGGAGCATTGACAATGGCAAGACATTGCTCGGGGAACACATAGGAATGATGGTTTTCAAAAGACAAGTTGAATGTTTCTTGAGAGGAAATGAAGTGTGTGGCAGAAATATGGTGTAGAATTATAGCAGGATAATCTGTGTTTTCTTTATAATATTTCCAGATACTTAGGGAAAAGAGAAAATTATTTACCTGTAATGTTTAATAATTTAATAAAATGAATTTTTCAAATTTTAACATGGAAGAGACTTTTGCAGCCTGAAAATCCCAAGAAGTTAACAAAAGCCATTGTAAGAATACCCTTTAAGATGTGTTTTCTGATGCTGATACTGGAGGATTGTGGACTTGAAGTGGGGTCCTTATTTTGGCAGTTTAACTCAAGTGATAAAAAGAAACTCTCAGGAGATTGAACTTTCATTGTTAATTTAAAAAAAATATTGCTTAATTTTAATACAAGTATTTTGTATGACAATATTGTTCATTTTAATTGAATTTTTACTCAATAGAGACATAATTAATTACAGTGAATGTGTATGGGGTACAGAGAACGGGGCAGAGGAACTTAGAACAGGATGCTCTAGTAAATGTGACTGACAGGGCAGTATTGTATGTCTGTAACAGAGACAGGCCTAATGGCAGATGCTCAAATGGAAGGTGAATTAAACTTGAGGGATGATTGCCATACTGGTATCTCTTGATGTAGAAATTATGAGCATTTGCATTGTGGAAAGAAGAGAAGAAGGAAGGTGGGGGAGAGAGAAATTATTTACTAAGATGTATCAATATTCCTTATAATAAGTTTGATTAAAAATTTGACTGATTTCCAAACAACACTATAAAGAAACTATTCAGAAAAAAAATCTAATTTGAATGGTGCCTTGCTTCATTGCTCCCTTAAAGAAACCAGGTTATATATTTAATATTGAGTGGTAATGAGAATTCATGATTGTTTATTATAGTTAAAAAATAAAAAAGTAGTAAATCGAAGTTGTAGCCATCAGAGTAATGATGAGTAACTCTCTGCCATGTGGCTCACGTGAAATAAAGACAGAAGGGTCTGGAAACTACATGAGTTTAATTAAATGTGTGATTTCATTAAAAACTGAACTAAGAAGATGAAGTAAGACAAATACTGTACTTATAAACAAAAGGTACGTGCCACACTATAAAGTAAATCTTTGTTCCAGATAACAGGAACATTGAAGATTTAAAGTATTACTAGACCATTTTTGTCTTTTTCATTCCACTTGAAAGGGTAATGGGATTCTTTTTATTAGAGTTTTTGTTTATTTATCATTTTGTGTGTTGGGTGTTCTGTCTCCATGTATGTCTGTACACCATATACTTGTAGTGAATGCAGACGTCAGCAAAGGGTGTTGATTCCCCAGGACTAGAGTTACAGATGCTTGTTAGCAGCTCTTTGGGAATTGAAATAAAAAACTGGTCCTCTTGAGGGGCAGGCAGTACTTTTATCTTCTCAGTAATCTCACTAATCTAATAAAGATTTACTTTATGATATTTTCCCACATATCTATTGTCCTACAGTACTCAGATCTCCCTATCCACCCTCCTTTCCCCTTATCTAAATTCCATTATCGCCTTTCTTCTCCCAAAGAGGCTACACTCTATTTTCATGTTAACACACACACACACACACACACACACACACACACACAATTTTTAAGAAAAACATTGGAATTTGCTTTACCTAGCCTAGCTTATTTGCTTAACGTGTTCTTCATGTATATTCATTGTCATGCAAGAGATAAATTCCTTTTCTATAGAACTATATAAAATTCTATTGATAATAAAAAATGTGATGCCTACTTTCTTTTTTCTGTTGATAGACAGCTAAGTTGTTTCCACAACTTGGTTATTGTAGAGTGTACTACATATAGAGATGTTCAGGAGTCTCTGTGTTTGTGCTTACTTAAATGTCCTGTAGCAATAAAAATATATCATAAGATAGTTCTATTTTTATTTTTTTTGAAAACCATCAATTACTATTTTCTATGAGAACTTCACTAATTTCATTCACAAAGTGATGCTTAAGGACTCCTCTTTCCTCAGGTCCTCATCAATATTTGTTGTTACATTTTGTCTTATTGATCACTTTTGTGACTAGGATGAAATGGAACCTTATCTTTGTTTCAAATTGCATTGTCTTAATAGATAGGGGTCTTCATTTTTGCATGTATTAATGGGTCATTTCCGTTGATTCTTTTGAGACCTGTATTCAATTCATTTTTCTATTATTAATTGGATTATTTTTGCATTCAATTTTTGAGTTACCAATATATTCCAGAATATCATTCTCTTTGAAGTGTATAGTCAGCAAAGTTTTATTCCTTTAGTGAGATCTTCCTCTTCACTCTTGTGTTTCCTGGGTTGTGCAGAGGCTTTTCTGTGTCCTGATCCCTTTTGTCAATACTTGCTCTTAAACTCTGCTGAGCTCTTGGAGTCCTTTTCAGCATGCGCACAACAGTGCCTTTATCTTAAAGTGTTTTCCTCCAGCTGTTTTACTGTTTTAATCTACATTAAGGCCATCAATCCATTTAGAGCTTGGTTTTGAACAGCATGAGAGACAGAGTTCTAGTTCATTCTTCTTGATATTAGTTTCCAATTTTCCTAGGAGCAGATGTTGACAGGGCTCTCTTCTCCAAAGTATGCTTTGATATCTTTGCAAAGAAAAATGGGTGACCGCATCACTATGGATACATTCAAAATTCTGTCCCCATCCCACTGGTTTGTGTTTTTTGCCAATAACTTGCTGTTTTTTAAAGCTGACACCTTTTCTGTGGAATCTGAAGCAAAATATTGAAATAACAAAAGCATATCTCATTTTGCTTGGAACATTTTGGCTACCTGGGAACTTTTGTGTTTCAACATGCAGTTTATTATACTTTTTTCTGTTTCTGTGATAAACATGGAAAATCTTTCAATCATCTAGTGTCTTTAGTATTTTGTTGCAGAATTTTGAAGTATTTGTGTAGATGTCTTTTACTTCATTGCTTCAGTTTACTCCCAGATTTTTAAAGCTTTGTTGAATTGGATTTTTCCCTGAACATTTTCTCTGCATATCTGTTATTTATAGTACTCAAGATGCTAATTTGTATGTTTTAAGTTTTTGGATTTTACTATGCTGCTAAAAGTGAAAGTCAGATCTCAATTTTCTAGATAAGTCTTTAAAGACTTAAGTATTTGATCACATTTTCTGAAAGTCAGAATAATTTGCCTTCTCCCCTTACACACACACACACACACACACACACACACATATATATAATTTAATATTGTAATATTGCTAATAAGAAGTCAAACACTTTATTGAATAAAGACAATGCTGATATTATGTCACTCCTTATTTAAAGAAATTCTCTGAGCTATTTTTAACATTTAGGATATTATTGGGTATATTCATTACATGTTGCCTTCACTATGATGTGACATATTTCTTTTAGTTTGTTTGCATTTATTTTTATAAATAAACATTGTTGAACTATTTAAACATCTTTCTTGTTTATGATCATATGTTTTGTGTCTTTTGTTTGCTTTATTTTTATGCTTTTTGCTTGCAATATCTAGTTTATATTATCCCATCAGGTTGATACAAGTGCTTTACTATAGTATTAATGTATTTAAATCAGCTACTGTTCTTGAATGATGTCAATTAGTAATGCACATATATCCATAAGTGTATTTTGTTAGCATTAATATTTAAGTATACAATATTTTGTGTTCATAGATTTTGGAAAAATGTCTCTGTACATCTCTTATATTTTACTATGTTTTTGCCTTTCCTCTTATGAGTTTTTAAAGCATACGATTTACTATGTATGCAGGGCCATTTTTCCTATTTGTGATAATGTATATCTTCCATCCTATGACTTGTCTTTACAGATCAGACACGTGTTTGAAATGTTAACCTGGCTTCGATGCTTAGAGGATTAGCATTGATAGAACTGGAAGTAGGAACACTAGACATCTGAATTTAGTTAGAAAAATGGAACAAAGAATAATGATATAAAAAGGCAATCAATGGAAATTACACATTATTGTGTAATTTAGGATATATGAGAAAATGCATGAAGATTTGCACTAGATTTCTCTATGGCAAAATGAATAAAATTATTCAGTCCATACAATTTATTTTGAAAACAAGGGAGAAGTAGTTTACTTTTTTTTTTTTGTCATTTACACAATTTTTTACTTTCCTGAAAAAAAACATTTATGAAAATAATTCAAAGTTCACATATTTTACAATGCATATAAAGATATATATCAACATGTATGTGTATAGAATAATGTGTTTCCCACAATTCCCTAAGATCCGATGTTATCCTATAGAGCACACCCTTCTCTGGTTCTCAGTGTCTTCTTACTTTTTTGGGTCTTGACCTCCTTTTTGATTCATTGTATTTTTTTTCAAAAAGTTTCTTTTCAATTAAGCTCACTTCTTCATGGAGAACAGAAGTCTTTATTCTTAGTAAGAACGAGAAGATGTTTAGTATAAACTGGTAACTCAGAGAAAAGTTTGACTCTTCATAGGTTGTCACATGTTTACAGTAGCTTTTGCAGAATTTCTGGGTACTGAGCCAATACAGTGAGTTCTTGGTTATCAAGGACTGGCCTTTCGTTATCAGGAGTCCCTGGAGGCTATGTCCATGGAAACAAGGGCTATAGGTGTCTCCTTCAGTCCAGCTGAACTGAAAACTTGAAGGGGCCTTCTTTTCCACCACAGGTGTTGTGCCGAGCAGGGCACTGAATTGCTTCTGAAGATTCTTCACCATTTCTCTTCTCTTATAAGCGACTGCCTTGTCGATGTGCGAACGGTAGATCGGTCTTTTGGTTTTCCAATAATATTTGGCCCTTGCTTCTTCCCATTGTCCTTTGCTGGAGAGGTTGTGGAGTAAAGGGTACACTCACCCATTGCTGGTGGGAATGCAAACTTGTGCAACCACTCTGGAAAGCAGTGTTTCGGTTTCTCAGGAAATTCGGGATCAACCTACCCCTGGATCCAGCAATACCACTCTTGGGAATATAACCAAGAGAGGCCCTATCATACAACAAAAGTATATGCTCAACTATGTTCATGGCAGCATTGTTTGTAATAGCCAGAACCTGGAAACAACCTAGATGCCCTTCAACGGAAGAATGGATGAAGAAAGTATGGAATATATACATATTAGAGTATTACTCAGCAGTAAAAAACAAGGACTTCTTGAATTTTGCATACAAATGGATGGAAATAGAAAACACTATCCTGAGTGAGTCTTGGCCTGACTATGAAGACATCTATAAAAACATGATTGAAGTCGCCATATTTTTAGATTTACCTCGTTTTCCAGACATAACTGAAGATTGCTACCTTCATCCCAACATCTTGTGCATGAAATATTTACTGGAGTTCAATCTCCCTGACGAAATGCACAGTTTGACCTGCCAAGTGGTAAAGATGACTGGAATCGGAGAAGTGGACTTCCTGACATTTGATCCTATAGCTAAAAAGAAAAGGACAGTTAAATACGATGTGCAGGCTGTGGCTGTCATTGTGGTAGTGTTAAAACTACTCTTTTTGCTGGATGACAAATTAGAATGGTCTTACTCTGGGCTTGCTGAAACATATAATGAAGAACACAAAGAAGATAAACCGCAGTTTGATTTCAGAAAATGGTACCAAGTTATGAAGAAAACCTTTGATGAGAAGTAGTTTACTTTAATTCTACTTTCTGTTTAGTTGCTGTGTGGAAAGCTAACTTATCTTTTATTGCTAAGTATTTATTGTTCACCTTTGTAGTCAGCATTGTATCTGATATGGTATGATTTAGGCATGTTCCAAGGTTGGTTATCTCTTCTGAGTTTAAACCTCCAGTCATTAAAATATTATTTTATTGATAAATAATCTTGTGCCTGCTTCTCACTTCCAAGTGTTGTGCCAAGAGAAGTATATATTGTGTCAATGAAACACTGTGCCCTACTAAAATAAGAGTCTAGATTTACTCAGTGGGTGACAGATTTCTGCAATTTGACTATTTTTCCACTTATATATTTGGGGTCTAGCTAAGGCCAATCTAATTCTGTGTTCATACCCTTTATTTGTTAATCACCTTGACATAAAACTGACTTAATACTTAGTCTTTTATAGGGTTATTCTAGTCCAGCAGAGTATTCTAAACTAATATACTGCAAACTCTATTTGACTAATATTATCAAATACAAGTATTTACCTGAAATTAATGCTTTGAAATTTGGAATATGTTAATAATGAAGAAGCAAATTCTAACTTTTGTTCTATAGTAACCCACTTTGAATAGGACTCATAGGTTAAAACAAAAAAAAATTAAAATCTGTCCCAATGTTTCCTTTCCACATGCCTCTGTATCACCATAAATAGCACTAGCTACATTCAATTAACCTCTAAACACCTGATATACCAGGAATTGTGGAATAAGCATTATGATGTGACTTGAATTAGCTGCCTATATTTTAAAATATTGGTCAGTAACCAACTGGTTTATGCCTCCATGGGGAAGCTATGTCTTTCTTTTTGGGCATTTCTTAGTTGTTCATGGGTCTTTGTGAAGGTTTAAGGTTGAAAGTATACATATATGTATATAGGCACTATTATACAGACTGAGCAGATGGTACTTTATATCACAGGAATATATATCTTTATATATATATATATATATATATATATATATATATATATATAAACTATACTAGAGGAAAGTCCCTATGCTCAGAAGTAGTCAACCAACACAAACTGGACTTCACATGATATTTTTACAGATAAATTGAAGAACATATAATTAGATAGGTAGAGAGCTAGAAGGGCATCTTAGACGAGTTCAGAAAAAAGAAACAATAAGATTAAAGTATATTTCATGAATTTCCCAAAGACAAAAATAAAAACGATGTCTTAAAATTTACAAAAATGCCAAAGTCAAATAATTGCAAATATATGAAAGATTATATATAAATAAAATAAATGACAGCAAATGTGAAAAATTTCTACTTAATTCTAAGAAATCTAGTATGTATAACACAATTTGTATATATACTTTTATTGACAATTTAACATTAAAAGAAAGAAGAAAACAAATAAATATCCAGCTGAATTGTCCTAAGTTTTAATGGAGTGCTTTTGATGAATGTTCGCCTTTAAAACTTTAAAACATCATCTACTCAACTTTTGAACATAAATAAATGTTGATCTCAAGCCTACAGTCAGTGAAGTAAAGGAAATCAACGTCTTGTCAGAGTCGTAAATTATGGCAAACACAGTGAAATAATAGTGCCCTTATATGTTTCTGTAATGATTCCTGGAGACAACACAAAACCCTCAAAGAAATGGATGCTGTTAGAAGAGTTTAGTTAGTTCTTGATAACCTAGGTTGTTTTCTTTGAGAAAGGAATCAGAAAACAAATTGAATTCTAGATTCCTTCCATCCAAACTGGGTTTATAAAGGAAATTTGGAATGACAGAGTATAATGGGACATTTGTCTTTGCTCTTAGTTATAGGCATCAGTGTATAGGGGGAAATAAAAACAAGCTGATACTGACATTGTACGTAATTTATCTTTGATCCTTTCAGATAATTTCTTTCCTATAATCTACTCTAATATTTTAAGAAGCATCTGTACTGAACTATTAAAAATTTAGTTCATAAAGGCATATGTAGTTAATCTACAACAGAATAGTCTTTATGGATATGTTTTAAGCCTATTGTTTGATCCCCTAATGTATTTTTCAAACTCCTGATGCATGATATTAAGATAGTCAATTAATCATGTCATCAACAAATGAGTCCATTTTTCTCGACTGAGTTAAATATGAATTCTTAGGTATTTTTAAAATATCAGGCTAATATCAAACAGTCATATAGTGTTCTATGGTAATTTTAATAATTTTTCTCATTTAAGAAAAAGTGAAACATTACTTATTAGGCAATTGAATCATATTCAACTACGATGCCCAGCAGTCATACTTGACTCTGTATACACCTAATTATTTATCTCCAAATGATTGTTCTCCAAACACTACATAAGTAATTATAAAATTACATCAATTTTATTTCTAATTGGAAATTCTAAATTTTTGCAAAATTATTGTGGTATCTGACTGATTCAGTTTTTTTTTTCCTGTGGCTCTGATAAAATACCCTTACAAAAAATGGAGGAAGTGTTTGTTTTACCTTATAGTTCAAGGTATGATCCTCTGAGTCAGGTGATTAAGGCATCAAAAACTTGAAGCAGCTTGATACATCATAACCACAAAAACTGAGACAGGGTTCCCTATAAAACTAATATTATCAATTATATAATATAATATAATATAATGGTCCGTAGTTTTATCCAGAGATCCCAGTTAGCTTTTAGATCATAACAAATTAATAGCTAGTAGTTATTACATTGACAAATTTAATAAGTAAAAGTTGAAATAAACATAAGCTAAACATTAAATTCATACTGGATACTGATCCTCACTAAAATAATAATGCAATTTACATGGTAAAGAATAAATTAATAGAGATTTAAATTATTTTCACAGAAGAAATAAATGTCTTAACAAGTAAGTAGAACTTGGTATATAAAGTCAATAATTGGTCGATATAAAACAGTCAGAATTGTGCACATTAATTGGAACTAATTGATCAATTTTTGCTAATTAATTTGTAGTGATTAACCTACTTACAGAATAAATATAAGCGAAGGCTTAATAGGAAAGCTAGAGATTCAACAAAATTGTAAAGATCACAAAATAGGCCTTGACTCCTTCAATTAAATAGACAAAACAAACAGTTCAGTTAGCCGAACACACTGAACCTGATAGAAGAGAAAGTGGGAAGTACCCTACAGGAGCTGGGCACAGGAGATCGCTTCCTATGTATAACCCCAGAAGCACAGACATTAAGGGCAACACTGAATAAATGGGACCTACTTAAACTGAGAAGCTTCTGTAAAGCAAAGGACATAGTCAATAAGACACAAAGGCAACCTACTGATTGGGAGAAGATCTTCACCAACCCCACAACAGACAAAGGTCTGATCTCCAAAATATATAGAGAACTCAAGAAACTAGACTTTAAAATGCTAATTAACCCAATTAAAAAATGGGGCACTGAACTGAACAGAGAATTCTCAGCAGAGGAAGTTCAAATGGCCAAAAGACACTTAAAGTCGTGCTCAACTTCCTTAGCAATCAGGGAAATGCAAATCAAAACAACTTTGAGATATCATCTTACACCTGTCAGAATGGCTAAAGTCAAAAACACCAAGGATAACCTTTGCTGGAGAGGCTGTGGAGGAACGGGTACCCTCATCCATTGCTGGTGGGAATGCCATCTTGTGCAACCACTGTGGAAGTCAGTGTTTCGGTTTCTCAGGAAATTCGGGATCAACTTACCCCTGGACCCAGCAATACCACTCCTGGGAATATACCCAAGAGATGCTCTATCATATGACAAAAGCATTTGTTCAACTATGTTCATAGCAGTATTATTTGTAATAGCCAGAACCTGGAAACAACCTAGATGCCCTTCAATGGAAGAATGGATGAAGAAAGTATGGAATATATACACGCTAGAGTACTACGCTGCGGTAAAAAACAATGACTTCTCGAATTTTGCAGGCAAATGGATGGAAATAGAAAACACTATCCTGAGTGAGGTGTCCCAGACCCAAAAAGATGAACATGGGATGTACTCGCTCATAATTGGTTTCTAGCCATAAATTAGGGCCACGGAGTCTACAATAGGTGAACCTAAAGAAGCTAAGTAAGAAAGTGAACCCAAGGAAAAACATATAGTTATCCTCTTGGCTAAGGGAAGTAGACCCAATTGCCAGGGAGAAAATTAGGATTTTGGGGGTGGGGTGGGATGGGGGTAAGGGGAGATGGGGAGAGAAAAGGTAGAAGGGAAGGAGGGGGGACTTGGGGAATCAGGAGAATTGGGATAAAGGAAAGGTGGATAGGGGAGCACGGAACCACAATTCTTAGTTAAGGGAACCACTTTAGGGTGAGCAAGAGATTTGACCCTAGAGGGGCTCCCAAGTGCCCAACATGAGGTTCCCAGTTAGTTCCTTGGGTAGCTGAGGATTGGGAACCTGAAATGACCCTATCCGAGAGCAATACTGACGAATATCTTGCATATCATCATAGAACCTTCATCTGGTGATGGATGGAGACAGAGACAGAGACCCACACTGGAGCACTGGACTGAGCTCCCAAGGTCCCAATGAGGAGCAGAAGGAGGGAGAACATGAGCAAAGAAGTCGGGACCACGAGGCGTGCACCCACCCACTGAGACAGTGGAGCTGATCTACTGGGAGCTCACCAAGGCCAGCTGGACTGTGACTGAAAAAGCATGGGAT